GAGCGGGGTGGGGGCTCGGCAGGGGCACTGGGCTACAGAGGGCGCTGGGCTGCAGGGAGCAGGGCGGGGGCTCAGCGGGGGGTGCCGGGCTGCATGGAGCGGGGCAGGGGGCACTAAACTGCAGACTCTAGGTCTGATCCTGTGGGCTGCGGCTGGCTCTGGGGTGGCTGCAGCTGGCAGCCAAGAGGAGATTTAGGACAGGAAGTGAAGAAGCAGCTCTTTTCCAGGCGGGGGGGGACGGGACATCCCGATTCGTTAACCCCTGCAGGGCTGGCTAATATCTCCCGGCAGAGCAGGCAGAGGGGGCTGCAGCGCAGAGCTCCAGACCCCAGCTGCCCCCTTTCCCCATTGGTGCCATTCACTCCCTGTCCTCCCCCACCCTTCGTGGCTAAACCAGGGCCTGGGCTTTGCCCCGGCCGGGAGGGGGCAGGGTTGTTTTGCTCACAGACACCCCCCTCCCCCCAGCTGGGGAATCCCTTCAGCTCTGGGACCCAGGCATAGGCGGGACCTCAGGTAGGCCAGAATGAGGCCTTGGAGACCCAGACATGCAGGACAGGGGATCTGCTGTCTGGGACGCCTGGGTCCCTGGCGCCGAGACCCCCTGCTCTAACCACCAGATCCCACTCCCCTCCCCGAGCTGGGATAGAACCCAGGAGTCCTGGCTCTCAGCCCCCCTGCTCTAACCACCAGACCCCACTCCCCTCCCCGAGCTGGGATAGAACCCAGGAGTCCTGGCTCCCAGCCCCCCTGCTCTAACCACCAGACCCCACTCCCCTCCCCGAGCTGGGATAGAACCCAGGAGTCCTGGCTCCCAGCCCCCCGCTTTACCGTCCGCCCCTTGAGCCCCTGCGCTGGGGGCCCCGTTTTCCAGCCCCACTCACCGGATCGGAACTTGCTGCGGATCAGCATGGAGCGCTCGGAGGCCAACAGGGTCATGGTCAGGGCTGGGGGTGTCGAGCGCGAAGGGGGGGGCACCTGGCCAGCTGCCCTGGGCTGGAGGGACCCCAAAACAATCCAGCAGGGAGGAGAGACCGAAGGAGAACGGGGGGGGGTCACAGACGGAGCTTGTGCCTGAACAACCCCTCCCCCGAAAGAGGGGCCCCCATAACTTGAGGGGGACGGAAATGCCCCAGGGTTGGATAATGGGGGGCAGGGAACTCTCAAAAACTTCCACTCAGTGGCTCCCAGCCCCCGCCACTCCCCTCTCTGAGCTGGGATAGAACCCAGGTGTCCTGGCTCCCAGCCCCCCCACCCTAATCCTGTTGGGACAGAGATTATTCCCTGTATAGGGGGTCATTTTAATTCTAGACACACACACCCTGGTTCCTTGCTGGGGGTCGGGGAAGAGCAGATCAAGGGGGCTCTGTTTGGAGGGGGAGCAGAACAAAGGGATGGGGGGATCCGGGGGCCGATTTCGGGAGCTTGGGGGGCAGGATGGGACAGTTTAGAGGGAGGCCTATCTGGGGGACAGATTCCGGGGGGATGGGGCAGGGAGTCAGAGAGCAGGATTTGGGGGGATCTGGTGGGGCACATTCTGGGACATGAGGATCTAGGGGGCAGATTTCAGGGGGGCTATAGGGGGTCAGATTTGGGAGATCAGATTTTGGGGAAAAGGGATTGGGACAGATTTGAGGGCAGGGATGTCTTGAGGGGCAGATTGGGGTGGCTGGGGCAGGACTGGGTGAAGGGAGATCAACTGGGGGGTCAGGATTGGGGAGAGGGATGGGGTCAGGTTTGGGAGATCTAGGGGCCAAGCAGTGGGTTGGAGGCCCCAGGGGGCAGGTTGGGGGATCGGGGGGCTCCGAGGGGGGCGAAGTTTGGGGGATTGGGGAACGTCCAGGGGGTGGATAGTGGGGATTGGGGGGCTCCAGGGGGCAGGTTGGGGGGCAGTTTGGGAATTGGGGGGCTCCTGTGGGCAGGTTTGGGGGAATGGGGGCCCCATGGGACAGGTTTGGGGATTGGGGGCTTCAGGAAGCAGGATGGGGCCCCCAGGGGGCGGGTTGGGTGATCACAGGGCCCCAGGGGGTGGGTTGGGGGTACCAGGGGCCCCAGGGGTCAGGTCGGAGGCTCCAGGGGGCAGGCTGGGGAATCTGGGGCCCCAGAGGGTGGGTTGGTAGAATCGGGGGCCCCAGAGAGCAGGTGGAGGGATAGCGGGGCCCCAGGGGGTGGGGTGGGGGTATCAGGGGTCCCCAGGGGGTGGGTTGGGGGCTCCAGGGGGCAGGCTGGGGAATCTGGGGCCCCAGAGGGTGGGTTGGTAGAATCGGGGGCCTCAGAGAGCAGGGTGGGGGGATTGCTGGTATCAGGAGCCCCGGGAGGCAGGCTGGGGGAATCGGGTCTCAAGGGGGCAGGTTGGAGGCTCCAGGGGGTGGGTTGGGCTCAGGAGCTCCAGGGGGGAAGTTGGGAGATCGGGGGCCCCAGGGGGTGGGCTGAGTCCATCATGGGGACCCAGAGAGCAGGTTGGGGGGCCCAGGAGGTGGGTTGGGGGTATCTGGGGCTTCAGGGGGCGGGTTGGGGGGATTGGGGGCTCCAGGGGGTGGGTTGGAGAGACTGGGGGGCAGGTTGGGGGATCGGGGGGCCCAGTGGGAGAGTTGGGGGGATTATGGGGGCCAGTGGGCGGGTTGGGGGATCGGAGACCCCAGGTGGCAGGTTGCGGGGGTCGGGAGCCCCAGGGGGCGGGGTGCCGGTTGGGGGATCGGGGTCCCACCCACCAGCGCCGCGCGGTGACTGTCCCGGTCGCTGTCCGGCCCGGCTCGGTCGGTCTCTCCCCGCGGGTCCCGGCCCGGCTGCGTGGGGGGTGCTGGGGCCGGCCACGGGCGGGCTCTGCAGGCTGGGGGGGCGGGGGGACCTTGGGCCGGTGATGTCACAGCTGTCCCCATAAAGGGGGGGGGCGGCAGCTGCCACCTCCCCCCCCACGTGTGAAAAGGCCCCACCTGCCGGTCACCCGACACCGCCACTCGCGGGCAGGAACGCGCTGCTGGCTCAGCAGGGACCCGCCCCCTGGGCTGGCCCTAGACCCCAGCCCCCTCCCAGAGCCGGGAGAACCCAGGAGTCCTGGCTCCTCCCCCCTCCGCTCTAAGCATTAGTCCCCAGCCCCCTCCCAGAGCCGGGAGAACCCAGGAGTCCTGGCTCCTCCCTCCCCCCGCTCCAACCATTAGTCCCCAGCCCCCTCCCGTTTGGCCACTAGAGGGGGATGTGACTGTTGCACCTTCAGTCAGGACTCCTGGGTCCTATTCCTGGCTCAGCACCTGAACTCCTCACGCAAAACACAGACCC